TGCACATTACCTGTGTTTGTGCACAATGATGGCTTAATTACCCCAAGGTTAAAGCCAAGCATGAAAAATGAATTATTCTTGTCTCTGAACCCTAACTGGGATAGACCAAGTATATAAAAGCAGTTTTCAAACATATTGGAAAAAACTGAACATGGATTTGCTATTAGATGAGATTACATAATTACTGTTAATTTTCTTAGGTGTGACAATGGTATTGTAGTTATATTTTTTAAGTCATTATTTCTTAGAGATACACACTGAAGTATTTATGGATAAATGATACATGGGCTTTGCTTGAAAATACTCCACCCCCCCAAAAAAAGTGTGTGTGGTGGATGATGGCTGAGTGATAAGTACATGGGGTCTGTTACACTGTCCTCTTCACCTGTGTGAATATATAAAACATTCATAAGAAAACAGCTTGTTATAGTAGCTGTATTCCACTGAGACCTCACTACTGACTAGAACCGGCAGCTCAGCCCCTTGGGGTGACACCTCGCCCCAGATGACCAGATGACAAGCGTTAGTGACCACAGGAAAGCAAGTCAACTCAGTGAGTGAGTAATTGCACCAGAAGGTTTTTCTTCCTCTCAAGTTAAGACACTGGTAGTCAAACTTGGCTGCACACTGGAATCACCTGGAGTTTTGTGGGGTTTTTTTTTTTTAAATTGATGCCTAATTTAATTGTTTGAGGGAATGTTCTGGGTTTATGGAATTTTCATAGTTCCCCAGGTAATTCTAATGTCCAGCAAACTTTGAGAATCAGGGTTTCAGGAACCTAACAGGGTCGTTCACAGAAAAGTCAAGGGTTAAGGGTGAGAGGATGGGGTGGCTGGCCACTCTCTGCTCGAGTCTGCCTGTGACCCCTTCAGTCTAATCAGTCGTCTCTCCAGGGCCCGGAAGTCTGGGTCAAGCTTCGCTGAATTACTAATGCAATCAAGGACGACACTAACAGTATAGTAAAAACCAGGGACTTGGCAAATAGATGCAAACGATTAAAACCAGAAGCTTGGCCTACTTTAAATCCAGACGAGAAAGGACCTGTTTGCAATATCAGGGCTGTAGTTCACATGGAATGTTCCCTGACTGTTCGCCCTCATCTACCTGAGCATTAAGTACCAGTGTGCGTCCTGTGAGGCCAGACTGTATCCGTCACAGAAAAGCTCTTGTTCGAAGAGGCTGGTGGGTCTCAGGCAGCTTAATGTGTTACAGCTGCTGAGTGTTGGAGTCCTAAGAGCTGGCCTTACACAAAGCAGGGAGGAAGTGGCAACTGTCCTCTTGGAGTGCGAGCCTCCCCTCAGAGAGGGACTGGGGGCATTTTCCTGCAATAGGTGGCATGTTCTGATGTATAACCGGGGGCCTCTGCCCACATTCCTGGGGCAATGGGGTTAATTCTGGTGTCGTTCTCAGGGCCCTGCGAGAGGTAAGAGAGGCTTGCATCTGTGAAGGCTCCTCATACAGAGAACCCCTCTGACCTGCCCTCACAACCACCCTAAAGTGTTACTGTGTCCCCATTTTTCAGATGACAGAAATGAGGCCCAGGCAAGCCTCATTATAACACCATAGTCAACACAATAGAGAGCAGAGCTGGAGTTTGACCGGCCGAGTTCCAAAGCCCCACGTTCTTTCCACAGCCACGTCCTCCAAGATAAGCTGGACGTGCTACCTCTCACTTCCCCCCGTAGGAAATAATCCAAAGGTTGCTGGTGGCCCACCCTTCCTGGATGTCCCTATTAGTCATCATGAGCCTGAAGATACAAAACCCTTGAACTTTCTTCCCTCATTCCACGGGGACACGCATTTGTCCTCCACCCCAGGTGAGCCCCAGCTGAGGGCCACTTTCCAGCCACTTCGCAGTCCATGGACTCCAGGAGGAGGAGTCCTCACACCCCCAGCTTTAAAGTCCTAGCTGAGGACACCAACTCGAGAGCCCTTCCCTAGACACACACACTCACTCACTCACTCTCACACCCCTCCAGATTTGAATTCTGTGTATCACAAGGGGTAAACAGACCTGGAATGCAAGTCAACCTAGGGCCAAAGCCAGATTTTAGCCTCTAACTCCTTGTTTGTTTTGGGTTTTTTGGGGGGAGGGTAATTAGGTTTGTTTGTTTGTTTGTTTTAATGGAGGTACTGGGAATTGAACCCAGGACCTCCTACATGGTAGGAATGCAGTCTACCACTGAGCTATACCCGCCCCCTGGCCTCTGCTCCTTGGATGTGGGAAACCACCTGCTACGAGCCCCATCAGCAGCTACACAAGTCCAAATGCAAGGCCAACTCAGCAGGTACTTTTAATAGAGTCGGTGTGAGTAAGACTAAGTTTTGCCCCCCCCAAACATAACCTTCAATATAAATAAATAAATGAATAATTTTTAAAAAATAAAAAATAAATGAAAGGAGTTTTAAAAAAGAATGAAAATATTTAAAAGTAAAAATAAATAAATAAATAAAAATACTGCCTACTTTCCCTCAAACGCCTGCCTAAAAAGTTTTTGTCCAAGGAGATGGCTAATTTTCCAAAGATGCTATCCCAAGTGAAAGCTGCCTGGAAGCCTTCTTCTGGAACTGCCTTCAAGGCTAGTCTTATAATAAACGAGACGGCCATTAAAATTAAAAACAAACAAACAAACATAGTCAATCCTTACTTTTTAGTTAAGCACTATTTTGTAACTTGGATTGGATCCATCCCCAAAGCTTATTCTCAAACGTAGTTCCGGTGAACTTGAAGCCATTTCCAAACTTAAAATCTACCTTTAGAAATACTATCACCATCTTTTTTTCTTTTTTCTTCTAAAGAGTTCCAAAAAGGCTTCTGAAAATGTTTCAAGCAAATGCCTGGGAGATGGAAATGTGCGTGGAGGTGCCCAAGGCGAAGTCACAGCTTTGAAAGATACAACACTCAAGTACAAAGGTACATACTACTCAGCTACAAAGGTATATGCTCTGATGCCTTTGCCTTGAAACAACAAGGAACTCAAAGCCATGTGATCGTATCCTGCAGTGCAGAGTTATGTGACAAACATCCATCATGCCGCATGAAATGGCATTAGTAATAATCGTGATAAAATGTTAGCAGACATTGACCTGATGAGCCAGGTACACTATGCCTTTATGTGTGCTCTTTCCATCTCACAGCCGTTATCTGAGACAGGGTCTACGAATATCCCCATTTTACAGCTTGGGAAACTGCCACCCAGAGAATGCAGAAGCCAACCCATGAAGCCATCGAGTGGTAGAATTAAAAGAGCAGTTTGACTCCTGAGCACACAGTTCTCAACCCCAAGGCTCATTTCCAAACCACGCCAGGTAAGCCAGCCAGCTGTGGAGCTGCCCTTTCTGCACCAACACCACAGCTGCACGGCCCTCTGGAGAGGCTAATGGAACATCTTTTGAGATGGCCCTGGACCCTCCACCACCACAACACATGGGATGAAGGTTCTGCAGCACATAGCATTTCAAAAGCCAGGTGAGAGGCTGTCCTCCCTGCAAAGCTCAAAAGCACCAACAGGACTCGATTCTCAGCTCGGCTGGTTCAGCAACCCAGGACTGAACCCTCCCCCGGTGTCCTGTCCCAGCCTGTACTGGCAACATGTGGATTACAAACAAATGCTCGTGCAGAATGGAGCAATATGTACAGGGGCTGGTCTGGGCAGCGCTGAGTGACACCCTATGGTTAAACACTCAGATCTGGAGTCACAGTCCAAGCTGCACTCCTGACCCTGTCGATTTCTAGCTCTGAGTTCTCAGGCAACATATTTCATCTTTCTAAACTGCATGTTCTCCATCTACAAAGTGGAGAAACAATGGCACCTACTCGGGGTATCTCAAAGTTTGTGATGCCAGTGAACTGTCACGTGTATTGAAGTACATAGCACAGAGCAAGTACTTAATAAATGCTGGTTCTCTAGTTGATTATTCCAGCAAAGTTTCAGTATAGAAGAACAGCAGTGTGGACCAAAGGTGTCAAAATGACAGCGTGCCTCGGCGCAGTGCTGTTCTGGTGGCTCATGACAGAACCCCCCAGGCCTCCTGCCTGGAATAGGTGCCTAAGTGGAGAAATTTCACAGTGTCATATCCTTTGATAAATGATACCTACGCAATCCATCAGGTTCTTCCTGGCCCTCTGATGTCAACATGAAACTCCTCCTTGTAACAGGGAATTATTTGGGGTTTTCAAACACCAGTGGAATTTCCCTGCTTTTTTTCCTGAAAGGTCAGCCTGACATTAGGAGGTTGGTTGTGGTTCTGTACTTCTCAAAGCAGGCGCTTCCTAAGCTTCACATCCACTTTGTGTTTTCCCAAGATAAGTTCACACTTGAGTAACCACTCCAAAGGCAGTGGGGGGTGGGGGAGGTGGGAGGGGGCGTGACAGACCTGGGGGTTGGTCTGAAACAACGGCTCCCCAGGCCTATCTGGGTAGTTCCTGGGTTGGCAGCTCCTGGAGCCTGACTTGGGGCAGCAGAACAATCTAAACAAGGGAACAAAACAATAAGCACCCTGGACCCCACCATCTCTACAGGTCTCATGCTGACAGAGGAGAAGAGTTCAGAATCTGAGGGGAAAAGAAAGGCTTTTGTGAAGGAAGCTAAGAAAAAAAAAAGAAGCCAGGAGGGGGGCTTTTGAAAGGATTTTTAAAAATTCCTTCCGCTGCTTACTTAACTCTCTGCCTACAAGTCGGCTGTCCGTCCCACCGCCCTCTGCAGTCTATGGTAAAGGCTGGGTCACCCCTCAGCCTGGCCACCAGGGACAGGGCCTCCGGGACTTGTATTTGCCTCCAAGCCATGAATGGCAGCTGACCTCACAGCACCGTCCCAGAGAAATGTAACCTAAGCCCCATAGGTGAGCTAAGTTTGTCTAGTAGTCACATTAAAAAAGTAATAAAAGCAAGGCCAAACTAGTTAGAATAAGATAGATGACATAATCCAGTATATCTAAAATATTTTCGTTTCAACAAGTAATCAAGATGCAAGAATTGCTCACGGGAAATTTCACATTCTTTTTCTGGGTACTAAGGCTTCAAAATCCGACATGTATTTTATGCTTACGGCCCATGTCAGTTAGCACCAGCCTCGCTGCAAGCGCTCAGCAGACCAGGTGGCCAGCGGCTAAGGTATCGGGCAGCGTGGTCTAGAGCAGTGGGTCATCCCCAATCCGGTCACCTGAACCGCCCAGGGGGAGGAGTGGTGCCTGGTGCAAAATGCGACATCCCAGCCCCACCTCGGAAGGCCTCAGTGAGAGGCAGCTGGCTCCCCTCCAAATTCCGCTGCGGCACAAGCTGCCACCCACGCAGCCCGGTCCCCACGGCCTCTCTGTAAGAGTCATGCAAGAAGGCGCACGTTTAAAATATAGCCGCCGGCCTGCTGGCTTGGGATTCGTAAGCACAGAAAGGAGGAGACCAAGAAAGGTTCCCAGGGGCAGGTGGACTCACTGGGCCGATGAGTAAGGTGCCCACACCTCCTGAACTAAGCTGGTCCGTTTGCCTGTCGGGTTTGAACTTGACCCAAGCTTCAACATGGCTCTTCTCTTTCTCTTTGTGCACAGCGATCAGTACCATGTACACCTTGTCTGTGAAAGGAAGCAGGAGGGTGGGGGCCCTGTTTATAGTAGGAAGATTATGGACAAATTATGGTCCAGTGAGGGTTATGTTGAATACAAGGGGGCAGAGACATTTCTGGAGACCTTATTCCCCTGTGGCTATTCAGTCGGGCATTTAAAATTTTCTCCAGTAGGGCCCTCTGCAGCTGTCACTTAATCCCCCTAGGACTCTGGCCAGAAAGAAGTCACCTTTAACCTGGAGGAGGCGGGCTGAGCACGCTCCTCAAAACCCACTGCAGGTCCCAGCCTCACCTGGGCTTCCCGGGTGCGGGGATAAGCCTTTCTGCGTTAGCTTTACTCGCTGGGGTGCTTAAATTGACCTCTTTCAAAGGAAAGAGCCTGACACACTAGTGTGGAAAAGTTCTCTTATCATTTGGAGAAAATAATTTAGGGCTGGGTAGATAAACATGTACAGGAAATACTTCTATAGAGGTCCTGATCCTCTGAAGATTAATAACCCACGGAACTGGAGACCAGCCTCAAACTCGGAGGAAATAGGCAAGTTATAAAAACAGGAAGAACGGGAAGTTTATTTTTGGATGAATATTTGTTCTAGTGAAGCTCTCGATCCTGACAAAAACCTTGATCTGCAGGTCGTTTGCAGCAGCGGAGCAGCTGCAGTGCGTGTTTCCACAAGCTGTCCCACCAGAGATTTCCGGGTCTTTCTGGAAAGGCCTCGCCCCGCTCCTGCAAAACATCTGCCTCACTGCCACTGCTCAGGGCCCCCTTCCTCCTGCATTCCTGCCGGTGAGTGGACTCTCCAGCCCAGCTAGAAAGTTAAGCTATTGCCACCAGCCCTCTCTGCCTTTGTCCCCAGGGCCCGAGGCCGGCCCATCTCCCCCAGGTGCGTGCACGGTAGCTCTTGGCTTCTGCCACATCCATTCCTGCATGATTTGATCAGCCTTCCTCCACAGACTGCCAGCCTCCCTCTCCAGTTCACCTTCCATGGCTCCCCACTGCTCCAAGGGGAAAAGCCAAATCTTCTCCAGTGTGACAGACAGAGCTCTACACCATCTGGTCCAATCCACCCTTACAGCCCTAACTCCATAATGCAGGACTGGCTACGTGATTTGCAGGGCCCTGTGCAAAAGGAAAATAATTTGTGGGACACTTTGTTCCAAAATTAAGAATTTCAGGATGACGAGAGCACAGCATGAATCCAGGCATGATGGGGCCCCTCTAGGCTGAGGCCCTGTGTGATGGCACAGGCTGCAAGACCATGAGGCAGGCCCCCACCGTAAACCTCCCTGAAAGCAACCCCAGAAGCAGCGAACGCTACCACCACCAGGAACCTCTCTCATCTCTCCTCACCTTCACTGAAACTCATCCCTCCCCTCAAAGATTTCAAGACAAGGCAATGGGCCTCCATCCTCTCAGGTGGCCCATTCAGACGCCCCTTCCACTGAGCTCTCTGGGCCTGGTTTATAGTATGGTTATTTATTTACCTGTCTCTCTACCACACCTTTATGAGACCAAGAGGCCCAGGGCTCCAGGTTCATTGCTTAGTCATTTCTGTACCCTCCCCTCCCATTGTTCCAGAACAAAACTTAGTACACATTAGGTCTGCTATAAATTTCTACTCAATGGCCACCAGGAATA